AGGTAAAGTGACTTCCCTTAATTGGATTGAAAATTTCTGTATTTAGGAATAGGATATAGATTTTCTATGTCCTATTCCACATTCCCATGAAAACTGCTATTCTACACTCTTGTGCATTATTTGAAGAAATATATGATTATATAATTCTCCTGCTCCAAATTCTTTTCAGTTTTTCCATAGGAAAAGGGAGTGTTCAAGATGAACTATGTACTATGAAGAAAAACACTGAAGAATAAACTAGTTGGGGGGCTGGGGATGTGGCTCAAGTGGTAGCATGCTCGCCTGGCATGCATGCGGCCGGGGTTTGATCCTCAGCACCACATACAAAGATGTTGTGTCCGCCGAAAAAAACTAAAAAAAAAATATAAAAAATTCCCCCTCTCCCCCCTCTTAAAAAAAAATATGTAAGAAAGGACTCAGAAAAAAAAAAAATTTTGTTTAAGTGGTAGCATGCTCGCCTGGCATGCATGCGGCCGGGGTTCCATCCTCAGCACCACATACAAAGATGTTGTGTCCGCCGAAAAAAACTAAAAAAAATAAATAAATATTAAAAAAAAATTTTTTAAAATAAACTAGTTGGATCAAACAGTATAAAATATTCATGAAAATTTTCAAGGAAATAATTTAGAAAGTGATTATCAGTTAAATTTACTTTGTTAAAATGTATATGTCCAAGTTTGAAGGAAAACATGTAGAATGCCATGTTTTTTGTAATTATACCCCAAATAAGATGACGTACCTTATAAAAAAGTACCTTATAAAAATTATCCAAGGGTATTATTCTAAACTCATTTCCCTCTTTTTTTTTTTCCTTTTCCAGTTTTTGTTGTAGAGGACACAATATCTTTATGTATTTTTATGTGGTGCTGAAGATCAAACCCAGTATCTCACATGTGCTAGGCAAGCACTCTACCACCGAGCTACAACCCCAGCCCTCTTTCTTCTTCATATCTAGTTGTTATATTCATGTAATGCAGTGAATAATTGCTGGTGATTATATCTGAGAATAAAGTTTTTTTTGTTTGTTTGTTTTGTTTTGTTTTTTAAGAGATGTGGCCTGTGTATGTGGAATTGACCAATGAAAAGATATACGGCTGTGACTTCATTGTCAGTGCTACAGGAGTTACACCAAATATAGAACCTTTTCTCAGTGGTAACAATGTAAGATAAAATTTTTTGTCTAACTATGATTATTTTTAAAGTATTAACTTTTATGAAGATTTCTTCTCAAGCATGAAAAATTGTTTTAGTATTAACATATAACTTAAGATGGCTGAAAACAGTTTGGTTTATAGCCAAGCTTTGATTTACAGTATTCTTTATTGTTTAAAATACTTAATATCAGCATAATGTCTTCAAGGTACATAACATACAATTTATCTAAACTTTAGTAAGAGACTAACATCTCCTATGAATTCTCAAATGTGACTCTTTTTTAATTATTTACTGATTGCTATGCAGCAAAAGCTTATAAAAACAGGAATGTTTCTGTAATTATGGGTGGTATAGTCATATGATTATTAAATATTTTTTGATGTTGAAATTCTGAGAATTTTTTTCTGATTCTGTAGTTAGTAGGAATTTGATCCCTGGAAATTCAGCTTAGGTGTCTAAATTTGGCAGCTGTTTTTCACTTTCTCATTAAAGATCAGCACACCAAGGAGTAAAAATTTCACTTGGTTTTTTACTTTAGAATGAAAAACTTGTTTGATTTTTCTCAACACTTATTGCTTATAAGGAACATTTTTAGTTTGAACTAGGAGAAGATGGTGGCCTGAAAGTGAATGACCATATGCACACATCCCTTCCTGATATCTATGCTGCAGGTGACATCTGCACTGCCTCTTGGCAACCTAGCCCAGTCTGGCAGCAGGTAAGCTCAAATTTATGGTCATTTGTTTTTGTTAGATAATGCACTTGAAAATAAATCAGTTGCTATCAACAAGTCCAACTTTTTAATTTTCCAGCTTTTCTACTTTAAGGAGGACTCTTATATCACAGTCATTTTCTGATGTTAAAAAAATAAAACTAGTTTTTTTCCCCCTTTTTGGTAAGTTATACCATAGTAGATTGAGATATCTATTTTCTTTTCCTTTTACATAGTTTTATTGAACACCTGTTGTTTCACCACTTTATTCTCACATCAAGCCTCACACAGTTCAGTGTAGCAGATGTTTCCATCTCCATTGACTCCTGTGATATCTACTGAGAAGGGGTATGAAGTTGAGAATATCAGTAGAGTGAGCCAGAGTCAGCCTTAGAATCCAGGTCTGACTTCAAAGCTCAAGCTGAGATATTTTTTAATTTAAAAGAAATTATGGGCTAGTATTTTTTTCATTTTCATATGCCTATCAGTTCTGTCCAATTGTACTTTCTGTGATGGAAATTCTATAATTCTGTTCTATAATTCTGTACTGTCTAATCTGACAGCCCCTAGCAGCACATGTCACATGAGTACTTTTAAGTATAGCTGATATGACTGAGGAACTTAACTTTTTGGTTTTATTTACTCTTAATTATATTTAAAAGCTACATGTGGCTAGTCACAACCTTATAGTCACAACCATAGCAGAGCTTTTAATTTAAACAATGAAAATGACTCAGATCATAGATTACATAAAGCCTCCTATTCCTGGGTAACTCTATTATGGTAATCATTACTGATTAATTTTCTTATAGTGAATTGCTTTCCTCCACCTAACAATTCCCAACTGGCTCTGCACTTCCTCCTTTCCTCACACCCTAGCCTATTTCCTTCTAGTGGGAGAATAATAATACTAGAGGAAGATAATTAAAAATACAAGGAGGTTATGTGAGAAGGGGTAAAGATAAGAGACATATTACAGATAAAAGAACCTTAGTTAAAAAGACAAGTTCTTGGTTAGAGCTATTATTCATTCAGATTAACTATAGGGTATAATGTAGTGGGAAAGTACTGCATATTTGAAGAGGCAGTGTCATTTTTTTATTTAATGTAGAATAGAGACATCAGTACTGTCAGTCTTCTTATTTGCAACATAGCTTCTTTTCTGTTTTCTCCATCATCCTTTGTCATTTTTTGTGGTATAACTGTTACAATTTTTTTTTTGCGGGGGTGGTGGTGGTACTGGGAATTAAAATCGACCACTGAGCCACAACTCCAGCCCTATTTCTATTTTATTTTAGAGACAGGGTCTCAGTGAGTTGCCTAGGGACTGCTTTTGCTGAGGCTGTCTTTGAACTCACAGTCGTCCTGCCTCAAGCCTCTGGAGATGCTAGGATTAAAGGTGTGCACCACCACACCTGGCAGTTGTCAAAAATTTTTAATTAGGAGTTTGTGAGATTTTTTTACAAACATTTTAAACCCACTAAGATGAATTATTCCTTTAATATGCTATAATTTTATACAGGGAAAATATTAAAAAATAAACAGACATCTCTTATTTTGAGTAAATCTAATAGATTCCATTTCTTAATTTGCAGAAGCAATAAAATATTAATTTTATATAGCCCAAGATGCAAACTCAAGGAATATTGAGGCTGGATTACACTAGGTAATGGCCCAGCAACATGATAGTGCAGGCCACTTCTTATAGCCATTGTCCAGCTATTACTGTGCTCAGTTAACTCTGATTTCTTACAATATTCTACCTTTTTACTTCATTAAACCTACCTTGTTTATAAAGATTTTTTTAAGTCACTTCTAGAAATGCTCAAAGTTCATGCCTATATTGTATTGTTTTTGCACACTAAAGTCAGTATTAAGGTACATATGCACACACAGAGGTGAAGAAGGAAACAAATTGCCTATTATAGGCCAACCTGTTCTCCCTGGAGAACAGCCATGTAGTAGGTAGTGGTGGTTATGCTTCAGGTGAAGAAACTGAGGCTCGAAAAGATAAATAAATGTGTAGAAGAATGAAATTCACATTTACTGTTACTCCCAAGGCCAGTGTTTTCTGTTATACCAGGGAATTCCAAAATTTATAGAAATATAATAAAAATACAATAGAGGGGAAATTAGTTCTGTCAAAGAGATGACATTGCATGACTTTCCAGAATTGATTGCTGAAATCTGATATGATACCTTAGGGCTGGCACCAGCTGACAAATATCTGTATCTGGCTGACCATAGGTTAACTGTACAGTAGGATTTTAACCATCTGATGCCTAAATCTAAAGGTTACTAGACTGTGGACCAAATTTTTCAGAGATTGGCATCTCTCTCAATGCTTAAGACAAACTTTGATGTGGGGACTGGTTAATTAAAATTTCATTTTCAGTGTACCTGAAATATTTTCATAATATTTAGTAGAAATTTTATTAAAATATACATGTGATTGCTGTCATACTATTACCTGTAATAGGCCAGGGGTGTCTCTCTGCTCTTGTATTCTTGCAGAAGAAAATGTGAAGCAAGCAGGACACGAAATGTAGTGGAAGTATACATAGCAAAGTTTATTGGAGGAACAGGGAAAGACCCTCAAAGAAGCGGGTGGATCATCTCAAAGAAGAGAGAGATGTGGCACTCCTTTTTCCCTAGTTTTATTGGGAGGTCTTAAGGAATTTTCTAAAGAGACCTGTCCTACGGCCTCTCAATTCTTAACTGACATTAGGATTACATCAAATTTTTAAATCCCTACCATGCATGGTCTTACCCACAGGTAACCAAGTGAAATCTCTGGAACAGGGTGGGAATTTTACCATTATAATTACATGCTAAAGATTGAATGGCAACTCTTGGTCATCTTGGCCTGTGCTGACTAGTTCTAATTGAAACTTGTATTTTGCAGATTTTATGGTCAGTGGGCTTTGCTTTTTAATAAGCCTATCTTCCCGAGTCTTGGAATTTTTGGTCTGTATGAAGAAGGTCATAAAAGTCCCCCCTCAGGGTAACTTGTGTTCATCTCAGCAGTGAGGAATCTTACAATCAAGAGTCTTAAAAGAGCAGCTCCACATATAACAGGTTGTTTGCTGAGGAATGTAATATGTCCTATGGATTTAAGCCAGAGCAGGGCCACAATGTCCTCAGGTCATTTGCTTTTTAAGAGAAAGCATGTGGCGGGCCAGCACATAGTTTTATCTATAGAATTATCTCTTTAGTTTCGTGTTCCTGCCACTCATTGTTGTCTTCTATTTACCAGTATCTTAATTTTTGAGGCACTAAATTGATTAAATTAACAGTTACCTAAGTCAGTTTAATTGGAGTACACAGGTAACTGCTTCAGTAAGATGATAACTGCCAGAACCAACTGATCTGAAAAACTATCAAACATTGTACCCTCTTTAAAGGAATGTACAGGTTAAAATGATAACATTTTCAAAAATGTTAAAATGTATAACATTTTTAAAAAATGTATAACATTTTTTCATTGTCTCAGATGAGGTTGTGGACCCAAGCCAGACAGATGGGATGGTATGCTGCAAAATGCATGGCTGCAGCTAGTTTGGGAGACTCTATTGACATGGATTTCAGCTTTGAACTGTTTGCTCATGTAACAAAATTTTTTAACTATAAGGTAAGATAATTAAGGAAATCATTGCCTTTTCTGTTAATCTAGTACATAAATATGATTGATCATCTCATTTTCTTACTCAAAAATTTACTTGTTTTCAGTCATTTTTACAAAAATGACATTTTCTCTTTCTTGCCAGTCAGTGTCTAGAATTGCTTTTAATTCCTAATCTTAATTATTACCGTGTTACTATACTGTTTTACAGTTAAGATGGGGGAAAAAAAAAAACTCTCCAGATTTATTTCCTATTGTACATTTCTGAGTTTTATTTGAGATTCACCTGTTAGCTGTCATACTCAATAATGAACCAGTTTCTCCTGTACATTTTAGTTCTCTTTGCATCACTCCAAAGCAGGTCTTTACCTTCCTAATTTATATATAAGGAAAAATACATTTGTAAGGCTCAGAGAGATTAAATAATTTGTCCATGAAAGCTCTCAGTTTTTTCAATCTTTAAACAATGACTCCAGTCGAATATAGTTCACATATCATGTATTTCTTCACTAGACATTTTTAATATTCATGTAGATTATAAAGTACATCCCCTTATATTCTCTAGACACTTTTAATGTTAATACTATACATTAACATATTCACTGATACTTTTAATATTAGTGCAGATTATGTGGTAGTGTTATATGTAGAATAAATGCATGACATTAGAATGTTTTCTTTGAGATCCTCCCCAATGACATTTTCAGCTAAAATTTTGTTGAACAGTTTTTCTGCTGGCTATTCTAGCTTGACCCAAAGTAACTGCACAATTTTATATTTCCTATTAGGTACTCACAAGAAACTTTTTTATCCCTATATACAGGTTGTATTGTTGGGAAAATACAATGCACAGGGCTTAGGTTCAGATCATGAATTAATGCTGAGGTGTACCAAAGGACAAGAATACGTCAAAGTCGTCATGCAAAATGGGCGAATGATGGGAGCTGTCTTAATTGGTGAAACTGATTTAGAGGAAACATTTGAAAATTTAATTCTAAACCAAATGGATCTTTCATCATATGGAGAAGATCTTCTAGATCCAAATATTGATATAGAAGATTATTTTGACTAAAATGGAAATTTTTTCAAGAACTATATAAAGGTCCAAATGAGGAAAACTGGAAGTCAGTAAAGTGAATCATTGCAATAATCTAATGATGGCCACACTGAAGTTATATATAGAAGTGATAATGATGTTAGTGGGAAAAGTATTAAATACAATTCTAAAGACGAAATCAGTTCAAATAATTTATTTATAGATATATTTCTAACACAAAATTGGCCCCTTATTATATAAGAAATCTTAAGTTACACATTTTTTTATATTTTGAACTTAAACATTTTACTTATGATTTAGCTTGGGAGCATATTTAACCAAGTTCTTATCTATTTAGCCAAAATGTATTCTAATAGACCAGATTCATTTTTGACTGTAAAATGTCAAAGTAGGGATATAGTTTAAGAAAGCTTACAGTTTCATTTCCCTGAAATAGAGATGTAGCTGTAACTTATTTGCTAATGTTATTTATATTGATGTCTTATTCTTTTTGAATTATAGATATTTTTATAACCTGATGAATTCATTTTCATTATTCAGCTTAAAATATCACTCAGTTGTAGTGATGAGCCTGTGTCAGTTTAATAGTGCCATCAAAAAGTTACATCAAAAGAAAAAAATACATTTAGGTATACCAACACATAAAGACTGTAAGAAAGCCAGATGAATTTATTGTCAGTTATTTTGTATTTGTAAAATTTTGCATAAAAATTATTTGTATTTCTTGTTTTATATTGTAAAATTATAATTCTTTTAAAATATTTTTTAGTTATGTATGGGTATAATATCTTTATTTTGTTTATTTATTTTTATGTGGTGCTGAGGATTAAACCCAGTGCCTCAAATGTGGGAGGCAAGTACTCTACTACTGAGCCACAACCCCAGCCCCAGTAAAATTATATAATTCTTGATTCCTAATTATTGATAATTAAAGGTCTCAAATTCTCAAATCTTCACAAAGATAAGCTCTAAAAATAGTTTTCTCTATATAAAGTATCAGTGAAATTGTTGTTAAAATAAACTATTAACTACAAAAATAATAATGTGTACATGCATAAACAGTTATTGTTGTGGAAAATTCGTAATAGTTATTTCAGGCGTCATCAATTTTTCTTTTCTTAGCCCCTGTATTCTTAGAACCAGACTGTTGAAGCATGTTTGTGGACTTCTGGAAGTTACCTGAAGTTTTTCCTTCCCTCTTTTTATCAGCTTGTTCAGAATGATAAGCTTCAGATGTCTCAACCTACAAAAAATAACAAAGCAAGCACCCTGGTAAAAATTCAGCTTTTCAGTTTCTCATGAGATTAATAATCTCAAAATATTCTTTATGTATCAGTTAGCTTATTCTTCATCCAGGAGTCTAGTTTTCACCTCCAAAATTCTCCTCAATCTGAGCCTAATTTGAAGAGGCCATGTTGTGTGAAAACAAACCTAAAGAAAACTTGTGGTGTCCTGAGACACAGTGGTTCCTGGCATGCTTTTGCAGGCTTGACAGTATTGGGTTTGTAACTCTGGAGTAGCATAGACAGATTTCCTAACTATTGCTGATCACAACCAGTATCAGGAGGGAAGTGGGCCTCCAAAATTAGACTTCAAAATGGAATTCACATTCCAAAGGTTGGAAACTCCTAGTCTATGTTGGGTAGTCTATTCTATTTAATATCTCCACAGAAAATAAAGTTATACTCTCTCTCTTCCAAACTCAGAATCTAAGAAGAAAATTATTTTTCTCTTCTTGTATTCACCAGAACCCAGGAGAGAAATGCAGAAAAACATCCCATAAGCTTTCATATATTTTTAAGCACATAAAAACGGAAAGTAGCCAGTCAGTTACCTTGAAATTGCTCTGTGTGCGCTTCTTTACTTGCATAGTAATCACATGTGCTTCACTGTTCAGAAGATTAGCTTTAGGTCCTATTTTCAAGTACGATATGGTAGCATAAGCTGTAAAACTATAGTCTTCTCTGCAGAAGATAAAGGCCAACAATCAGAAAACTTCACAGAATCACAAACTGAAATTTTTAAAAGAAATAACTACAATTTTAAATAACTATGAAATAATAAAAATACTTCTAATACTTATAAAAATACAGTAACACAATTATACTATATGAGCACAAATATAATCTTTATAAAAAATAGTTCTGCACTTTTTTGATCAAGGTTTGAGTTTGTTCATTAGGTAAATTGTTTTCTATAGCATTTTAAAGTTGACATGAATAACTACAAAGCCATTTATTCTATTATAATTAAAAAAACATAAAGATAACATGAAAGGACAAGAAATGGGTGTGTATATACTTAAGATACTGCTGTAGAAGAAAGTGTGCAATGATTTTCTCCAGGTCTTCACGAGGAAGTACAGGAGCAACCACACCCGCTACTCTCAGTTTTGATGCACCCTTTCCCATCCAAGAATCAATCAGTTTAAGCGGAGTGAGTTTTTCATTCAGTTCTTCTGCCTGTTTCAGGATCTTAATTAGATCTCTACAGTACTCTGTTATATTCTTTTTTTCAAATGCTACAATGAAAGAGACATGGTTATAGCTAATTGGAATTTCAAAATGAGAGCAAGGATAGGATATCGTAAGTGGTTAAACTGGTTTAAAATTAGTTATCAATGTGAGCCATTCTTAAACATTATTATTTATTTTTTTTACTGTGTTCTAAATTAAGATGAGGCTGTTCCTCAAGTCTCTATTACTAGACCAACATATTGTAGGATTTATAGTAATGTAAAGAAAATACCCTGGTTATCAGCAGGCTAGCGGTACTCTAAAAAGCATAAAGTGTCCACCAGACAGTTATTAAAAGGTATATGTTATAGGAAAGTCTGTTCCTCATACTTACTTATCTGATTCATGTTCATTAAGCCAATTTCTAAAAACTAATATGGGTTCCTATGCCAAAAATGTCCTGGACAAATATTCCCAACTGTTAAAAGGCTGGTACTCTAAAATATCAGATTTTTGTTAACTTGGTCAGTTTAAGATAATCTAATAACCTCATAAATAACTTTCTTTAGCTGCAAAGTTAAAAGTGCAGTGACCTCCACCCAAGGCATGAGAACTAAATGAGGCTCTATATGAAGAACTAATTAGTTTAGCTTTTCAAGAACAACATATACATACATACACAATGAAAAAAAGACACCACTAAGTTAGTGTCTTACTGAGTAGTTCATCATTTCACTAAAATCTGTTTGCACTATATTTTCTTCCCAGTGACTACAAAATGTTAGAGATTATCATAGGGTTAGCTCATTCTTTTTTTTAATGTGTGTGTGTGTGTGGGGGGGTGCTGGGGATTGAACCCAGGGCCTTGTACAAGCAACTTTATCAACTGACCTATGTCCCCAGCCCATATTTCTATTTAGAAGGATCAAATTTTGCCTTATTTTTTAAAAATTTCACATGTCCTATACTTATATTGCTATATTGTGCATATTTACCTACTTTAAGACATTTTTGAATCTGGAAAATTCTAGTCATAACTTGTTTTATCTTTTTAATTCATTGGGGGTCTAATACTTCCCTTACTTAATCTTAGCTGTATACATTAGCCTACAAAGGTTTAAAAATACACACTTACAAATGTCTTTACAGCAGTTATCACACATTTTATTACATGCTTCTGAATTCCACACTTCATCGAAATGTTGAGCTATCAATACACGGCGACATCTGCAAACAAATTCAGAGGTATGGGTTATTAAGTGATCTAATAATAAAGTTTTTAAAAATTACTATTTCAGGATCCTTTTTGGTTCATAAGCATGGTGACTAAGTGTCTGCACTGTCCTGAGATGTGCCTCCCTTTAAACCTGTGACACTGGTACAGTACCTTTCTTACATTAAAAAAAAGAGAGAGAGAGAAATCACTACTTCAGAGTATAGTTACCTATTCTATTATTCTTGCATTTCTACAAATTAGAAATCTATCACGGGTCTCACTGGGTCAAAATGAAAGTGTCAACAGAGCTGCATTTCTTCTGGAAGCTCTAGGTAAAAACTTGTACCCTTGCTTTTCCAGTTTCTAGAGGCTACCTGGCCCCTTCCTCCATCTTCAAAGCCAGCAATAGTGGGTTGAATCCTTCTCTTATCACACCAATCTGACCCCTCTACCTAACTATTCCACTTTGAAGGCCCTCTGTAGTTACACTGGACCTACCCATATGATCTAAACTAACCTCTATTCCCCTTTGTCATGTAAGGGAAGACATGAGTTGCAGCGATTAGGACAAGGCCATCAGGACAAGGCCATCAATGGGGAACCACTTTGCCTACTACATATTTTATGCTTTTTTTCATTATGTTCTTGAACATAATGTTTAAGAAGTTATCTGTTTGGTTTTGAGATCAGTATTTTAGAACTACTGGAAAAATGTTCTTGACAGAAAAGTAGTTACTTGTATTTTAAATTATCGATGTTTTAGTCTAAACCTCAAAATACGTTTCATGAAAGTCTGCTGGACCTTTAGAGAAATCTTCATTTTCTTATTTCTCTTAATTAGATTACTATAGCATACATTGAGAGAAAATGCTATATTCTATCACTGTTGGGTTACTATTCTCCATTTCAACATTTTTGAGCCCTTCTGTGTGCAGTAAAAGTACAAAGAAGATAAAGATCTAGAGGCCATCAGGAAACTATATGGTCTAACCAAATTTACCCTAAATAGATTTATATTTATTTCATAATGTGAAACATGACCTTGTCCTCAATTATTTCCTTTGCACATTGGGTGGTAGAATAGCCCACGTTACTGAGCTTCACTCTCAAAATATCTGTCATACACCTTTCTTTTTTTTCTTTCTTTCTTTCTCCCCCCTCCCTAGGGGGGATGGGTACCAGGGATTGAACCCAGGGGTGCTTACTGGTAAGCCACATCACAGTCCTTTTTTATTTTGAGACAGGGTCACGCTAAATTGCTTAGAGCCCTGCTAAATTTCTGAGGCTGGCTTTGAACCTTCAACCCTACTACTGTAACCTGCTGACCACTGGGATTATAGACATGTACCACCATGCCTGGCCAATACACCTTTTCAAAATTATTATAGCATGTAGCTGTTACACCACACTGCCAGAGGAAAAAGGCTTCAATTCATTGTCAATGTGTATCAAAATCTTCAGTTAAACAAAATTTAGATAGAGCATCTTTCTTGAATTAATAATAATCATTAGAAGGTTGATACACTGGTTCCTGCCTCCAAATATCTGATTCTACAGATTTAGGTATTAATACCAGTTTACTTAGTAAGTATTCAAATAATATTGTACAATTTAATATCATGCTTTTCTTTAATAGTTTTAAAATAGACATGTTTTTAAAAAAGCTTACTTGCTTATGTTTTGGCAGTATGACACCATCTCATAAAGCTTCTGTTGTCCCACATTTTCCATGACCACCATTGAACTTACTCTGAATATATCTCCAAAGCCATAATACAAAATGCAGTCTGCTCTCATGTCATCTCGACCTGTGGTTTGAGAAATCCATGAGATTGCATGATTACTTATTTTAAAAACACACATGAAAAAAATGATAAATATGTAAAATAGGCTGGCAAAGTTTTAAACTACATCTAGAAATTTTAGAGATGTGAAAATTATTTTTAACAGCTACTCTCAAGTTTTTTTAAAAAATCACTAAAAAGACTGAACAACAATCATATTAAGTTAAAAATGTGCCCTTAAGTGACCTAGTTAAGTCAAGAGGAAATGATGAGTATCGGATTAAATTGGTACACACAAGAAACAATTCTTAACACCCCAATAGGATATAAGTAACATGTTCCTATGAAAATAAATCTGCTAAAAAGACTGTTCTAAAAGTATTACCTGATAAAGATTAAAAATACAAAATTATTAAATGTGTATGATGTGTCTTCTAAAAAAGTATTCTAAAAATAACTTCTGGTTGTAAGTTCTACATACCTGCACGTCCACTCTCTTGGTAATAATTTTCCATGGATTTGCTCATTGAATGATGAATAACAAACCTCACATCTGGTTTATCAATTCCCATTCCAAATGCAACTGTTGCCACTACTACCTAAAATGTTTTAACATGTCTGTCAGTTAAGTCAAGTTTAAATATTTTAAATTAGGCTTCTATTGAAAATATAATCTTAACCTGAAGTTCATTGGCTGACCATCTTGTGTGAACCTTGGTCTTATCTTCTGGTTCCATATTGGCATGGTAAGAACCTGCATGAATTCCCAAATTCTGCAAACTAACCGTTACCTGTTCAGAGTCTTTCTGAGAAAAACAGTATATGATTCCTACAACAAAATATAAAATATGATCATGTATTAGACATACAGAAATAGTACCCTCCTCAGAGACCATTTTCAAAACACACACAAGCCACTAATTAATACAATACAAAGGTGGAAAAAATTCCAAGGTCCTAAGAATATATTTATTGACTTTGGGTATAATGCAAGATTTGATCACCAGCTTTCTCTAAAGCAGAAATGAGCCCTGAGCTACCAGTTTTAGTTACCATTACCTGTTTTCTCTCTCCACCCGTATCTCCTACTACATAATATTTCTCACACTGATGTCCCACAGCTCCATAAAATGTTAGTAAGTAGCTGGGGGTCTGGGGGTGGGGGATTCACATGATTTTGAGGAACAATGCATTCCACAAAGTTAAATAGGCTCTCTACCTTCAGGGCTGGTCAGAGCTTCCAGTGTGCTGACATAACCCCCTATTAACCCTCCAAGAAGGATAAATAACCACAGCCTTTCTCTAACTTACTTGACTCTGGAACTCCTTTTACCCAAGACACACATTACCATCTCCTGAAAAATCTAGACAACAGTTTTAAAATGCTCCTTTTAACCAAACTCTTTGCTTCAATATCATTTGCCTAGTCATCAATCCTGGAATGCATATACACATACTCTCAATTTCATCTCTGCCTAAACTATTAAATATGTACTATTTATTTCTTTAATGTGTTTTTTAGACATATTATTTTGTAACCCTTTAGACATCAACGCTTAACCCTTTATTTTGTATGTAGTACTTATTATCTGAAGTCTATGCCATTGAATTAATATTGTCTTTAGGTGCATTCTAAAGCAATTAAATATTAATAACCATAATAATTCAGGCAGTTCTGACTGATAATCTGTGACATACAAAGGTCTTAGCATGTTTCCAGAGTCACCAAGTGAATTAATTTTATCACAACACTTTCAAGTATCTTCTGCCACATGCTAATATATTTAGTAATTAATCAGTATAATTACCAGGATACTATTACTTTTTAAAAGTCCCAAAGTTTTACTTGCTTTTATATTACCTGATTGTCCTTTGTATCTCCCATTGATGAGCTTTACAATATCCTCAATAAAATCTTCAGTGTTTGAAGGCTTTTGCCGAACCTAGAAAAAAATTATCTTATTAAAAAGGTAAAGAGAAGTACCATCCAAGTAGCCATTTACTCACAACTTTTGAAGTCCAATTCTTTCATGAGCATAGTAGTTTTTTCCATTACTCTTTTACTTGTTTCATAAGCCGTATGACTTATTTCTGCCACCTCCTAGACTCTCTTATTCTTTCTTTTTAATTTGCTAGAGATGAGGAGACCTTTTTATTTTCTAATGCTATTTTTATGAAAACATACACCACAAATAAATAACTATTCAGTTAAAACAGAAGAAAGATTGTATCTGTTCCTAAAAGGGTTAGAAAGAAAGGAAGGACACCAGGGGCTGGGGATGTGGCTCAAGCAGTAGCGCGCTCGCCTAGCATGCGTGCGGCCCGGGTTCGATCCTCAGCAGCACCACATACCAACAAAGATGTTGTGTCCGCCGAGAACTAAGAAAAAATAAATAAATGTTAAAATTCTCTCTCTCTCTCTCTCTGTGCCCCCCACAAAAAAAAAAAAAAAGAAAGGAAGGACAGCAACTAGGTTATTTTATTTTCAGTATGTAGTAAATAAAATCTAAATGGAGTACTGGCAAATCTCTAATATTTCTATTGTTTAGTAATTAATTTCCATAAAGATGTCAGGTCCATGATCTCATTCCTCTCTCCATCCTTGTACAGGAAAGAATGAAAACAACTTGAACAAATACATGACTTCTTATTTTATTTCAAAGGTAATATCACCCAACAAGGCAGTGTCTTCTACTTAATCTAATTAAAAGATTATACAGCACCAGAGATATGTGAATAAGATACCAATTAATGAATCTGCTTCTAATTATCTACTGATGTTAAACCTTTTTGTATTTTTAAACTGTTGCTCATGTAAATAAAAACAGACACAATGAAAAAGCATAATTTCTCTGCTATAATTCTTCACAAAAGTAATAAATGGACAAAAGTTACATACCTCATAGTAAAGATTTGGACGATTAAAAGAAGCTGTAAAAGTAAAACACTTTTCAACACACAAAATTTTCTGAGCATCTTTCAAAACATGATTTGTTGCAGTTGCAGTCAGCCCAATTAGTGATGTATTGGGAAACTGTCGCTTCAAGATACCAAGTGCCTTATAATCTGAAAAAGATAAATAAAATGCCCTTCTTTCTATCCTCAAAGGATTAGAGTAAATTATACCCTCAACTTTATGTAGATAATCAATGACTCATATAATTTTATTTCATAGCTATCTATAACATTAAATTTGCTATTGCCTACTATATTCTTCTTTTATAGGTAGATTTTTTTACACTTTTCTTCAGAAACACTGTTGTTGGACATAGGCAGAACTCCACTGAAGAGAAAGAAACCAAATATTCCATCAACTATGCATTGATCTACACCTGCTGAATAACAGACTCATGAGACAGTGGAAATAGCCATAGTATTTGGTTCTGTTACTATCAACAAAAGATAAAAGAAACCAGTGGTCAAAATTTTTCTACCACCTACTTCATCCAAAAGTGGCAAAAAAAATGTGGTGAGGGCACTGCTTGCAACAGAACGTATTTCAGAGAAACTATTCTGGACTCATACTTGTCATACATATCTAAATCACTACATAAGAGATCCTTCATTTCCCTCAGCACTCAAAATATGTGGTAACTGCTAAGATAGACGGTAACTATGAACACATGGAGGAGAAAGCAACTTCTTGTGATGTTGTGCAGATTACAAGGAGATAACATTTGAGTTAGGTCATGAAGAACAGACAGAAGTTCGCTTAACAGGGAAGAACAACAGCAAGCAGAGGACGCAGCACGTATAATGTAAATGCATTGGCATGAAATCACTCAGCATGTTCAGAAAACAGCAAGCATTTCAGTGGGGCTACACCACAGGGTGTTGTGCTGTATGATTTGCCGAATCCATTAAGTAGGGATTCTGGGTCCAGAATTCCTTCTATGTGGAGTTCTAAATTAGAGCTGACCTAAAAGAGGAACTTGTGTAAGACTTGGGAGGCGAAGTGAACTAGCTGCCATTACTCTTTGAAGGTCTTTCCATGCAGAGAGGACCATGGATAGATGCAGAAGTGCCCATAGAGCATAAATAAGACTTACATTTCAGAATTATTCTTTAGTGGCAATGCCAAGGATAGGCTAGAGCAGAGAAGACTTAAGAGAGGGAAACCAGTTAAAAAATAACAGTAATAGGCAAGAAAACAAATAATAGAGAATATAAAATAAGCCATGACACTACAGATAAATCAGAAAGAAAAAAATATAAGAGAAATATGTATACCAACTCAACCCTCACAGATCCTTGTGACTATTAGGACATGAAGAGGGCAAAAGTAGGGGAAGAACAGGGGATGAGTCTTGTTAATCAATTCATCAACAGATAAATGTTGGCCGATAACATCTCTAAGCACTAGAAATAAAGTGGTAAGCAAAACATATACAGCTACAATCCAAGGGAAAAACCCACACAATATAAGGAATAAAGCACAAAATATGCTATTATCAGAGAGTGATATCTACTCATAGTGATAAGCCCAATAGAGCTGAAGCTGAAAGAGTGAGGGAGGAAAACTAGGAAATCAAGTAGACACATAGGAAATAAATCATATATTGCCTAACAGGCCCAAATAAAGAACTTTGAATTTTATTCTAAGTACAGAAATGTTGCTGAGCAGTTTAGGTGCAAATTAACATGATTTGATGTATATCTGGGAAAGATCACTTTGGTTGCTATATGGAAAATGAACTATACAAGGGTAAGTTTAAAATCAGAGTATCTCATTGGGCTGTTGGAGTACCAAGGCTGCCCCTGAGAAACTGGGAGTCTGGGTAGATTAAAGGCATCTTTAAGTGAAAACGTCTTAGGGACCCCCAAGGAACTGATGAAGTTAAGTGTGCCATCATTAATGAATGCTGTTCAAAATAACATGGCTTTCCTAGCTCTCAGCAATCTGGATGTAGCACTATTCCAGTTGATCTACCACTTGAAGATTCCCTGTACTACTATATGTACTGTTTTTAATGTGAAAGTGGATAATCAGCAAATTTCAGTTTCTATGCTGTGTGGTGTAGTCACACTTGTATAGTGGAAACCAGCCCAAGCTACAAAAGTTATGGTGGAACAGAATCCATTATTAGGGTTTGATGCTATAGCAATTGCTATATTGTGATTAGGATTTGCAGGAGTGTATTTTGAAAAAGTCTTGAAGACTTCAGATTCTTTCCTTTGAGTGAGAAACATTAAAATGTGTGTATTTATCAGGAATTGCTGTGACATTACTTGGTGGCTACTTGTCAAACGAAGCTAAAATTTTTTAAAAGGATTTTCTTTCTATGGTTACACATATTATGTCTGGTTTGTCATTTTTCTTGCATGTATTGGACAAGTACAAAGACATCATGAAAGGCTCTTCTGCAGCAGCTTCCATTGACCTTTCTACCACTGCTTCAATGACGCTGCTTGGATTACAGATTACCTTTGCTCTGGGTATGCTCTGAAGGAGTATACCCTTCTGGTATGTGTTTCCATCTATCTCAATGGACTACCTAGCAAGTCTCGACAGCCACCCAACAAGGAGAAACAGCTTCAAAAGACAGAATCACTGAAGTGTGATTTGAGCCTCAAGAGAGATTTATACTATGACTAAACCATTTGCATTAAACTAGAGCCTTAAGTCAATCTTGGACGGTAGCTTAAATAGATAACAAAATGAATAATATAGCACAAGAATCAAGAAGAAAGTTATGAGTGAACTACTAATATAAAGACTTAATTTGGGCCTTTTGGGGGTCGAGCTATATTGTTTTAGAATAAACAATTTTAGTACTGTACATATAAATAGTGTATATAAAAAGTATGGAGATAGCATGGTATTAAAATCATGTGAAGCTACAATATTCAAGTAACAAGTTGTGGGACAATGTTTGAGGGTTAAAGTGCCAAAGCCATTCCTATACTAATCGTTCTCTTGTTGAGGTACCAGGGGAAAAGAATGGCCTTTCCTTGTTCTCCAAATCAAATACCATATCATGTTCTAGCAGTAGTAAAGACCTAACTCTTTTCTTATAAAAGAGGCAGAAACCACACAGGCTGGTTCTGAAACAAACCGAATGTGTAATTTCTCAAATAGAATCTATTTCATAACTCACACAATGATTTCTGAGTGGTGACTGAGTACTCCTTAATGCTGCATTTGTGCCATCCATTGACTGGTTCATATTTCTTTGTTCTTAGATGATCTACTTTTTTTCAAAAAAAAAGACTTCTAATATATAAAGTACGGTTAAATGTTGGGCTTTCAAAAAAAAAAAAAATCCCTGAAACAAAGCCTAGTTAAGAGAGTTATTACAATAAACCAGTGGAAAGAAGCCTACTTGGACTTAAAAGATAACAACACAAACAAAGAGAAATAGATAAATTTGAAACTCACTTTAGAGGTAGAGCTACCAGGACATGGTGGGTTAATCTGCAGAGGTAAGATAAGACAAAGATGATGTGTCACCATGAAGTTATTTTTCTCAGCTCCAACCCTAACCTTCCATACCCTTCCTTTTGATGCAGGGGTAGGAACTGCACATTACATGCCAGCTTTGCCAGGTGGTCTGACGGGATAGACCACTAGCTGTTTGCTTCCTGTGGGCTTGCTCGTGTTCCCATAAATGTCACTGCAGCAGCACTGTCTGTCCTCAGAAGCAGCTGAATACAGTTGGCAGTTTTTCCAACCTTTAAAGAAACATCTTTATGAATCCACTGCACTTCTGCCACTGCCAAAATTCCAGCACCAAGGAACCATTCCTTCTTAGAGGTCCAAGGACCAATTCCACAAGGTCCCTCCTCTAAGTTTCTAAATTCTATTACTTATATTACTTTTATTCCTATTCTCTAGTCCTATGGATGGTAGTTGCTTCTTTCAGTTTTTATTTCTATGATATCTTTTAAGTTCTTTACTTTTTGAGTTATCTATTTAATCACCTTTTACATAGTTAACAATTCTTCATATAAAATTCTCTGTGTTCAAATAACAAGTGTTTCCTGTCTCCTGGTTTGACCCTGAATGATATACATAGTCAGCCCTCTGTATCAGTGAATTCTATATCCAAACTAACTGTAGGTCAAAAACATTTGAAAAAACGTTTGTATCTGTATAGAACAAACACAGACATTTTTTTTATCATTATTCCCTGAACAATACAGTATAACAATTATTTATATAGCATTTACATACTATTAGGTATTATAAATAGAGATGATCTAAAGTATACAGGATGATGTATATAGTTTATGTACAAAAGACCATACCACTTTTTATTCAAGGGACTTGAGTATGTGTGGATTTTGGAATCTGTGAGAATCCTGAAACCTCTATAACTGCTAAAATTTTGCTTGAACTAATATATGTTTGAATGAGTTTTTAGAAATGAAAGACTGAAAGGGAAATTATGTAAGAAGAAGAGTTGGAAGGAGCAAAGGCACCCAAGAGAGGAGAGGAGAAAAAAAATCAAAAGTTCTTGGTGAGGACATGTAGAAGAACAAATACTGATTCCCAGTTGCAAAA